CTAACCTACAATGTAGTCCTATTTTCTCACCTACAATGTAGACATATATTCTCGCCTACAATGTAGTCATATATTCTAACCTACAATGTAGTCCTATATTCTCATCTACAATTTAGACATATATTCTCACCTACAATGTAGTCATATATTCTAACCTACAATGTAGTCCTATATTCTACCCTACAATGTAGTCCTATATTCTCACCTACAATTTAGTCCTATATTCTCATTTACAATATAGTCATATATCCTTACCTAAAATGAAGTCCTATATTCTCATTTACAATATAGTCATATATCCTTACCTACAATGTAGTCATATATTCTCACCTACAATTTAGTCATATATTCTCACCTACAATGTAGACATATATTCTCACCTACAATGTAGTCGTATATTCTAACCTACAATGTAGTCCTATATTCTCACTTAAAATGTAGTCCTATATTCTCACCTACAATGTAGTCCTATATTCTCATTTACAATATAGTCATATATCCTTACCTACAATGTAGTCATATATTCTCAACTACAACGTAGTCCTATATTATCTCAAGCTGAAAAACATTTTTCCCCACTACTACTCGCGATGAATGCCAACACATACATTTTTAAATTTGTATACGTTTTCGTATATGTAACGAAATATATATTCCTGAATTTTTTAAAAACTCTTGGGCTTTTAAGATATAGTTCAATATACCTAGCCAATTTTATTAATCAAATGTCTGAAAATATATTAATGTTGATCCAAATGTAATTAATTTACGATATGAATTATAGTAAACCGATCCAAAACGGTTAATTTTTTTAAATGGCATAAAGCAATTCTAGTAAAAAGTGAAAAAGAGGAAATTCATGTTTTCTCCTTTTAATAGCAACGTATGTAAGATTTTCCTTCTGAGTGTTGCCTCATCAAGTTAAGAGTCAATCCCGTCACTTTGTGGCAGGGGTCACCAACCTACGGCCCATGAGGCCTGTTCATCCTGCCCGCCGACGCCACTTGAACTTGCTTAATAAAAAGCATGAAACACGAGACGTTGTGATACACGTTAGATTTCAATATTATGTTTAGAATACTAGGAGATCTTCACACGTGCAAAACCCCCCTGGCTGTTGTGCGCCTTAATTTACCTTTTCCATTTTAAATTATTGTATCTATATTTTCTTGCTTATTGAAGACCTTTTTACACTTGAACGCCTAAAATCGTACAATATCGTCTTAATATCGTACAATACAGTGTCTTAATAGTAAATAAATAAACATACAGTATGTAAACTGAATACAATAACTATTCGCATCGCAGTGCCTAGTGGGATCGAGTTAAGCTTGCGACAAAAAAGTTAACCTCTAAAAGTACAATCTGCGGTCGCTTTGTTTTGCAGACATCTATCTGCTATTGATATTAATTTATACTGAGAGCACGTACAGATCACATTATCACTGTGTATAACTAGTACAAATACATTTACTGGTGAAATTTAACGTGGATCAAATTCAAACTCATTACTCATAATGACATCATCGCTTGAGGTTGTTGTTTTTAGGAAAAGCTGACTTAAAAAAAAAAAAAATTAAATATCAATTTCCATTAAGCCTATTCTCGCTTATATATTATATTTATAGTCTGATAACTACCACAAACTATCAATGGGTGAAAGAAAGAGCCGTTTTGGAAACATACGGAGGACGTTAAAAATCGTAGTCGCCGGGGTTGGAACTAAAAGCCCTTCGACAAGTTCAGTTGTACGCAGAACAGAAGAACTGGGAGAGAACATGGCGCTACAGATACGTGAGAAAGCAAGGAACTTGCTGTGGTATTCTCTGGCACTGGATGAGTCTACTGATCTCTCACAACTTCTCGTGTTTATTTGTGGAATCAATTTATAATTTCAGATAACGGAAGAGTTGACATCCGTTAGCAGCATGCATAGAACCACTTATGTCTAAGAGAAAACTTTAAAAAAAGTAAAGTATGACCTTCTATTTTTAACTAGCTATAAGTCAGGGGTGATAACTCAAAAAAATTAAAAATGGACTCTGCCGTTTTTTCGCTTGAGGTCTTCATGTGAAGTCAACACATCGAACGAGACAGATTGATGAACATTTGGAAAAAATTCTTTTGATTGGATGCAGCAATTCAAAACCAAACATTGATGATTACTCGAAAGCAAAACGTCAGTTTAAAAAATCTAACCCCCTTTCGCCGCTTAGTTTGTGAGATTCGAATATGTGTGCACTAGGTCTGATGTAACTATCCTTTTGCTAACTTCGCCTTCTTCGCTAACTTTTTTAGCAAATGAATGTTGGTTGTCTTTGTTGTTTTTTTTGCAATGCACGCCACTCAGCCATGATTAGCATGGGGTACTAAACTTAGTTTTTCGTCTTTTTTCCCCAGAGCTTTAGTTCTGCCTTTCACGTATTGTACAGACTGATTATCCGCCCCGCGCTCGTAATCGTTTTACGTTATCCGGCCTGCCGTGGAAAAAAGTTTGCTAACCCTTGCTTGAGGGTCACAAAAAAGTGCTTGTTTTGGTTACTGGACAGTGTTTCATCCAACCGTGTATTCAATTGAAACATTTACCAGTTTCAACCAACGAGTTGAACAGTTCCGTAATAAAGGCTCGGCAGCTATTTTTTCATTTTGTGATGTCGCCAGCCTAACCAACCTAAAGCGAGAACTAAAAATGAATAATTTAATTTCTTATTTTATATAATATATGCCGGCTTTTAAACAATAGGCCTACAGACAGTCCTACGCCTCACCTGCCGGCCTATAAACAATAGTCCTTTTGACAGTCCTACACCCCACCTGCCGGCCTATAAACAGTAGTCCTTTAGACAGTCCTACAGACTGGCCTAAACCAACACCGTGTCTCTTTATGGATTAAAATAATATTCGCTTCCCCCTATATAATTTTTTTACCCGAGTTCACACGCCCTGCATCACATACCTTTCTTCCCACTCAGTACTATTAATTTATATGTGCGCGAGTGGTGGCGTGGCCGATAGTCCAAAATATATCAAACAAGGAAAAGCGGATCTGAGAACTACAGCTTTTATTTTTGTGGCGCATACCTTGGAACAGTCAAGTCTCTCACACGTGCAGCCGACTCCGGCTATCGGTTCACCACTCTCTTTGGTCAAATCACCCGCCTTATATACCACACACCACACACCCTTAACTCGTGACGTCAGCGTCATGAGTTGTTCATCGGTCACCCGTGGGGCAGCCATGCACCAGTTCAGTGAATGGTAACTTGCCTGGGGTAAACAACAAAAGCACGAGAGCATGCTCCTTACCCACACTGCCCCATTTACATATATATATATATATATATATATATATATATATACATATATATATATACATATATATATTATTGACATCCTTCCTTTAACATGTGACGGTTCTGTAGACTTCGCAGGACGAGATCGCAAGGCCGGCCTGGGGTTTTTCTTGAGCACGACGGGCCTGCTCCTGAATCCTCTCACTAGCGTCGCAGGAGTTTCCGAAAGGTTTTTTCCCGTGTCAAAGTCATATCGCACCACCAGGACTCCATCCCCGGAGTTTGAATTCAGAGTTTTCCTTCTCCTAGTTGAAGTTGCCATCCACCTTTCTTGGATTTTGATGGGGGGTAGCACTCGAGTCCATAAGGCTGGGACTGACTCAGTTCAGCCTGCAAGGCCGCCCAGCACCTTATTAACAACAAGCTCATCACACCTAGAAACATTATATTTATAACAGTCAGATTTTTACAATCACGTTCAATAAAACAAAGAACAATATTAATATCTACGTGGAAAATTACCACAAGCAGTGGCGTAACCGGGGTTAGCGCAACACGGGGGCAGCCAATAGTTTGGACACTTCCCTCCACGAAAAGCCAAAAACACCGCCTCTCCGTGTACAGGGTAAAAAAATGTGCCAGTCATGGGTGCTGAGCACCCCCTCCTCTCCCTCCCGCCACGGGTGGCATTAAGGAACGCCTCTGATATGCAACACGCACTTGGTTTATGGGGACAGATGAAGGAAGACTATTCACTCTTATAATTTTTACCATTGATTCTACTTTCCAAGAAATAACTGTATTTTTTGTTGTTGTGTTGTTCTTTGTGTGGACCGAACAGCCTTGAAATGGGTAATTTATAATACTAGAAAGGTTTCTAACTGTAAGATTTGCATATTTCTTCTTTCTTCTCATAAGGAAAATGTGTGTTTGTGTGTTGTTTTCTGTTGGTTTTTTGTTTTTTTTTTTTTTTTTCTTTTTTTTTTTTTTTTTTTTTTCGTTTTTTTTTTTAATAGTTGGAATTTGGGTCGGCATAAATTGTAAGGCCTCCTATTACCAGCTTGGATCATGACAGTATTTACATATATAGGATGTTTGGCTTAGTTTACATAAGATATGAACTTTGATACTGACTCATTTATAATATTAAGAATGTGCACAAGAGTATCAAAGAGGGACAGGAGACGTTCATTTCTTACCCAAAAGTGTTTTGAAAACGGGAAATTAAAAAAAAACAAAAGACGGGTCAATGCTGCTAAACCGGAAGGACACCGTTGAAACCGCGAGGACGCTGGTCAAACCGAGATGTGTGGTCAATCTAGCTATTTTCCCATAAATATAAATCATCAAATGCGACTGCCCTAACTTTCCTTTTAGCATACGCTTGCACTCACTCCCCCTTATGAATTTAAACTGTGGTTGATAGTCTGTGTACAATCTAGTTGATGTTCTATTTCCTGGAATAATGTGCGAACTATTTAGCCTTTCCAATAAATGACTGTTTGTTACGTGCCTTTGTATAATCCTTTGAAAGTTAACAAATATGTAGAGCAGTGGTTTGTCTAGCACATTTTAAGTGTATCCGAATGTTACACAACTTCTTTGTTATGACCTGATCTACAAATGCTTTCCAAAAGAAAGCATACAAATCTCAGTCATTAAAATTTGGTTAACTTTAAAAAAAAAGTAACAAATCATATTCTTTTGATTATTTTCATTCATTTACATAATAATGTACATACATTTTCAGGTACGTGCAAATGAAATTTCTTAAGTGCTGTCTCTTTCATTACATACAAATGAAAGCGGGCTTGTGTTTGGCCATAGTAAGACTTACGTTAGGATAGTGAAATTTAAGTTGAGCTAAAGGATCACCTTACACCAAGTATGCATAAACGATAACTTTTTGAAATGGTGGGTAAGGTTTAGAGCATAAATTGTATTGCCCATCAGGAGTTTTAGCATATTGTTGACAGTCGTTTTTTTTTTTGATGATTGAATTGAGCGTCCATCTATCTCTGACTAGTTTTGTACACATTTTTAAATGTACTTAATTCCTGGACAGTTTAAGTTAGATCGTCGATGACAATCCTGGGGCCTATAATTCATACGTCGGCCATGTATTATAATTAGCTGCACCCGCCAGCAAGGGTTTGATACAGTCCACTAAATTTCGAAGTGACATTAAACAAATGCTCTCATCTTATAATTGCACTACTGGTGACATTATCCAGCGACAATATGTAGGTTATAAACATGAATTTTTCAAAGAGATGTTCGATAATCGTACCGGAATGCTTAATTACTTCTGAGAATTCTAATTTCTTTCATGAACACTCTCAGTTTCGCTTATAGTCAGTCATGTTTCGGAAATGTCTCACCAACAAGACAACCATTTCAGGGATTTCAGGGCTGGCGCTAGACATTGTTAGGTTGGGTGAAATTAGGGCAATTGTCGCCCTCTGGAAAATTATGGGAAAAGTTCAGAAATAGTTTTTTGTTTTTTTTAAACAAATTTTGCCGCCTTTGGCGTTTTTGGGCACCTTGGCGCCTGTGTGATGATCACGCATCGTAGCCGCCTTGAGCCAGCCCTGCATCCATGTTATTTCATTCGGTTCTAACTCAGATTCGAATTCATTGATCGTTTTAAAATAGTTGAATTAATGGCAAAGGTGTTGAAAAATGTATCAAATGCAGCGACTAAACTAAATTATGAAAAGTCATCTTTAACCAAAGTTTGATGTTATATAAAACAATCAGCTCAGCGAATTTGGAACTAAACAACACGTTTCCAGCACGAGAAGCTTCACCACCCCTTGTCTACAGTGGCTCTAAAAGACCTCCAACTTGATACTGCATAGTATTATAACCACAATCGTATCTATAAGTGGGCGAGTGGATTGAGCGTTGCTATAAATAACGGTCTGTGGAAGCTGCTTCCCTTTGATTAAGTCAGCCGCCTTCTCCCCAATCATGATGGTGGGAGCATGAATGTTCGCCGATGCGACGAAGGGCATGATTGAGGCATCAGCGACCCGGAGTCCCTCGACCCCCAACACCCTGAGCTGGGGATCGACGACGGCTGTGGGATCATTCGGCGAACCCATTTTACAGGTCCCGGCCACGTGATGTAAGGTCCTGGGTCTCGCTCTGATGGCGCACGCCCAGAACTCCTTGGAGTCGAACTCGTGCTCCGCGCAAATGTTCAGGTGAACCGTGTCGACAAGTTTAGCGTCGACGGCGGCCATCGCTTTGGTCTTGAGGACCTTTCGGCAGATGTCCACCCCACGGACCATGAGGTCGACGTCCTCCTGTCGGGCGTAGTAGTTGGGGTCGATTATGGGGTCGTCGCGGGGGTCTTTGCTTCGTAGTCTCAGGGTGCCCCGGCTTTCCGGTCTGGTGAGCAGGGGCCATAGGGCGAACCCGTGTGTGACGTTGTAGCGCGGTGAAAGCTCGTCAACCAGGTCAGGGCTGTAATGGTGCTGGAAGGAAACGATAAACATTTTATAAACCAGCCAATAAACAATAAACAGTAAACACTACCCAGCCAATTACGGACAGTAAACACAGCCCAATAAATACTACTAGGCAGTAAACACAGCCCAATAAACACGACTAGGCAGTAAACACAGCCCAATAAAAACTACTAGGCAGTAAACTATAAACAATTGACAATAAACCGTACAGCATAAACGATCACAATAAAAGCTACAACATAAACACTACACAAGTTACGCTACACAACAACAAACAATGAGTAATTTCAATATTTCATCTGAAATTCCTGAGAAAAAACATTTGAAGGCGGAGCCATTCGCAGTTTTGTTGTGAATTAACATTGGCAATTCATAACCTACCATTGCCTCGTTGTAACTTACCAACGCCTCGTTGTAACTTACCACTGCCTCCTTGTAACTTACCACTGCCTCGTTGTAAATTACCACCGACTTTTTGTTATTTACCACTGCCTCCTTGTAACTTACCACTGCCTCGTTGTAAATTACCACTGCCTTGTTGTAACTTACCACTGCCTCGTTGTAACTTACCACTCGTTGTAACTTACCATTGCCTCTTTGTAACTTACCACTGCCTCGTAAATTACCACTGCCTTGTTGTAACTTACCACTGCCTCGTTGTAACTTACCACTGCCTCGTTGTAACTTACCAATGCCTTGTTATAACTTACCACTGCCTTGTTGTTACGTACCTCTGGCCTTAATCCGTTGCTAACTATCACATTCATTTCGTAGCTTTGCCTTCAACATTTATCTTATCACTGGCATATTTTACTTTGCCTCTTAAATATATTTCAACTAAAGCCACTGGCGTATGTCAACGTACCACTAACATGTTGGCAGCCGTCGGCGGTGTCAAGGCGAACAAGATTTTAACATCCGGCCAGTCCAAGCGCCTCGCCTCGTCCGTCGTGCTCGTGTGAAAGGCGACACCAGAGTCAGTCAGAGTGAGCGGCCCTTTCTTTAGCTCATTATACTCGGTGACCGCCCAGTAGGACGTCAGCACATCATTGGGCAGATCGGTCGATGCGTTGATGGACACGGCGAGGTCGAATATCAGATGGTCCTGGAGGTTTTCACCAACGGGAAGGTCGGCGACCAGTGAGATGTTTAGCTCTTTCAGATGCTCTTTCGGTCCGATTCCCGACAGCATCAGAAGCTGTGCTGACCCGAAGGTCCCGGCGGAGAGAATGACCTCCCTGTTGGCGCTGACGATCATCGATTGCGCCCCTTTGCTGAGCTGAACGCCCACGGCTCTCTTGTCCTCGATGATGATTTTCTGAACCGTCGCGTTGATGGCGACGTCCAGATTCGGACGCCCCAGCGCCGGGTGGAGGTACGCCCTGGCCGTGCTGGACCTCACACCGCGGTCGGTGTTGGACTGCGACCTGGAGACGCCCTCCATCGTCTCGCCGTTGAAGTCCTCGTTGTATTTATACCCGAGCTCCAGGAATGCGTCAAGGATCGTGTCCGTCAGCTCGTACACTGTGGACGCTCTCGTCACGCTCACCGGCCCGTCCGTCCCGCGGTAAACGGAGCTCTTCAGCTCCGGGTTCGTGACCTTCTCCATCTTCTTAAAATACGACAGCACGTGCTGGTAGTCCCAGCCGGCGTCCCCGGTGTGGCGGGCCCACCGCTCGTAGTCCTCTCTCGCCCCGCGGAGGTACGCCATGTTGTTGATGCTGCTGCAGCCGCCCAGGACGGTTCCCCTCGGCCACTGAGCTTGACCGCCCTGCATGTGCTTGTACGCATCGGGCTTAGGCACTAGGTTTAAAGAAGTGGAACAACAAGTAGATTATTTTGAAAAGGCCGATGTTGATAACGGTATGGGTAAACAACTACCGATTAGGTTGATTCATTAACTTTCCTTTATTTTTAATCTCATTAACAATTGGTGCATCGGCAAAAATAATGTAATTTAACGTGCTTAACATTTTTAAATAAGGTAATACGGTATTATAGTTAAAGCCGTAAGTTGTTAGAAACGGAATCAGTGCAGAACACACTGAAGCCCGTCACTGTGTCCATGGAACATTAACAGAATAAATTATATAAAATCAAGACAAAAAAATTTTGCGTAGTGTGCAAAATAATTTGACGACTACCGTCATAATTTGAGTAAGGTATAATTTCATGCATGATATCATGTATGATGATATGTATAATTTCATGTTTGAAATGTTTTTCATTTGATAAGCAAAATTAGTGGATTTAAAAACAAAATATCACACACTATTGATGTTCTCTTTCTTTCTTGTTACATATTTTTATCTGAAGTCTGAAAAGGACGAATTTAAAAATCGAAAAAAAAACAAACAAAAAAACAAACAAACAAACATTTCCATTGAAAAATCGTCACCCGCAATGACGCCAGCGATGACGCCAGCGATGACGCCAGCGATGACGCCAGCGATGACGCCAGCGATGACGCGCTCCGTAGAAACTCACCACTGAAATAGAACCTCATGAGATTTGGGCAGGTCCACGTCTGCTGGAAGAGCGCCGGCACCGTGATGGCGGGGATGCCACGGTCGTCACCCCCTTGTTCCAGGAGCAGAACCGTGACGTCACTGTCTTCTGACAGACGGCTGGCGATGACGGAGCCGGCCGTGCCTCCACCAACTGTTCATAACAGAGAATGGTATTTGATCATTATACACGTATGTTGTATTTCATGTCCATATGCGGATTAGATCATAATGTTAAGAAATACCGGGCGTTTTAGTTATATTGCACAAATATCTTGAATTAGAACACGGATGATGTCACAAACCTGCTTGATATTATATAAAAACACACAGGGGCCAGCAACCTACGGTACGTGTGTCAGACTTGGCACACAGAGCGATATTCACTAAGACGCAACAGGCCAAACAAAAAAATAATAATCTTAAAATGTGTCTTTTACAACGGTAGACTTATATAATGGTAACTTATATTATGGTAGACCTATAGCTTGTTTGGGACGCTGAATGTACTAAGTCATTCTTGTAAGGCAAAAATATTACCGAAAGTTTGATGAACCCTAATCAGTTGTATAAGATTAAAATATTGCATATAGTCAGATCCCAGCTACAATTGTATGATTTAGATCTGAATTTGCCGCAATCATGCCCCAAACAGGGAGTCGGTGATCGTAGCTGGGAAGTCGTCGATTCATGAAACGTTGATGAAGTCTTAGGAAATATTACAACGATATGTTACATGATACAGTGATTCGTACTCACTTGATTAAAGTTCTTGAACCACACATTTTTATTACAGGGATGCAAACTCTTTGTAAAGCTACCATTTCATATTTTGGATTCAATAACGACAATGTGTTCATTCTCCCCCCCCCCCCCCTTTTTTCCCCGCCCAACCTCTTGTTTTTTTCTTCCCCCTTTCAACATTACCCAAAAAATTATTGTTTTTTTTTTTTGTTTTGAAGAATATATTAAGTTGGGATCGGTAGTACAACTAGGTACTAATATGTCACTACTTGCACTATACTGTGACATCTAGGTACTTATATGTCACTACTTGCTCTATACTGTGACTTCTAGCTCCTCATATGACTCTGCTTGCTCTATGCTGTGATTATGTATTGTGAACCCTTCAATCGGGCTATTTCCAGAAAGCGACAACAATTTCTTTCGTTTTTGAGACATTTAACTGAGGAAAATTTTCATCGCACTAACTGATTAAGCTTTTTATCAGATTGCGGTAAAAGCTTTCCCCTTCCTATATTAAGCCGACGATGGCGATGTCACCAGCAAATTTAATGATTATAACGGTCTTGATGGGGCTTTCGATATAGTAGCTATCACACCCCATCGTTAATTTAATTAGCAAAGGAAACAGAACAATGAATTAGACTTAAACAACTCACCGACAATGTAGTCGTAGGAACCACGTGGTTGGATGACAAAGTCCTTGCCCACCACTGAACGGCAAACGTGAATCACTATCACAAGGGAGAGAGCAGAGACCATGCCAGGTATCCAACTACAGGGCAACATGTTATCGGACTTAAAATTGTTTCCTCGTTAGCTAGTAGTTCACTGACTGCATCTCAGTGCTTGACACGCTCACGTCAGACCAGAGGCCAACAGGAACCATCGCCTGGGATCAGGTCGTGGCTATCTTTTTAAAAAAATAAAACTATTGTTGATCACCAAAGTGGGTCTTGAATGAAACGATCAGCTTGATTCCGAGGGGAGTTGTTATCCAAAAAATGTGGTAAAATATATTTTCAACGCTAAATATAATCTTAAATGGATGTGTAGAACATGCAGAAAAAATAGTATCGTTAAAAAGGGTCACTTAGAAAAGGTGCCATTTTTTAAAAGAGCGCCCTTTTAAAAAAAAAGAGCAATTTAAAAAAAAAAAAAAGCTATAATTTCAAATTAAAGGGATACAAAAAAATTTTTTTGTTTCAACGGAAACTGTTTACTTTATAAGAAATAAAGCGCGATGCATCACTGGTGCGTCATACCAAAATACATGTTAATGTGATTGAAGTATTGATGCGGGTCTGCTGGAGGTGAAACCTCACCGAAATACGAAGCTGATATCCATGGTGGAACCAAACTATAGAATGAACTCAACCATATAATTACCAGGGCGTCTGTAATAAATACCAATTAATCCGACCAGATGAAATGACAAATGTGACATCAAGGAAAATACCGTTTATATTTGACGAATTGATCGCTCGATTAGGACGGTGATATCTGGTCAAGTTTGAGAAAATCCAAGCGAAAAAAAAACAAAACTTTGAGGGGCCGCCATCATCCCTGTTAGCTTTTTATATAAGAAATGGCAATGTGGGGTGGGGTGGGATGGGTGGCGCCAGAAGGCAAAGGTGGGGTCGGGGGGGGGGGGGGAGGGGTAGGTTCCCCCCCTTGAGAAT